TTTCCCTAGAGCCTTGCCAAAGCACTGCAACCAAACTTTTTGATCTTTATCAGTCTGACAGGTGAAGTATATTTTACTGTAATTTTACTTTGTATGACTCTTACGGGGGAGATTGAGCGTCTTTTTAAGTCGATAAGACATTTAAATTTCCTCTTCTGTCACCTGTTAATAGTCTTTGTGCATTTTTCCATGAGATGACCCAGTGATCCTTTTCTTCTGGATTTTTAGGAGTTGTTTATGTATTTGGTTATATAGTCTTTATTGAAGAATGGTGATCACTCACTAAAACTACTGTCATTTTGCATTTTAGTATCAATCTTTTCCATATAACAAAAATGGGTTTAAAGTTGGCATGAAATTAGAAGGCGTGGACCCTGAGCATCAGTCCGTGTACTGCGTCCTCACTGTGGCTGAGGTAAGCTTTGCCTCATCTTTATTTTTAAAACAAAATAGTGATTATAGGGATTTAATGATGGGAAAAGGTGCCATTTGTTGAGTGCTTACTTTATGCCAGGCGCGGTGCTTAGCGTTTTGTAAACGTTACCTCATTTAACCTTTGCAAGAACCCCTTTTCATCCCTGTTCTATAGATGAAGGAACTGAGACTCAGAGAGGTTAAGTGAGGTATACAAGGCCACACGGCTTCAAAGTAGTAGAACCAGGATTTGACCCCTGGTCTGTCTGATGCCATAGGCTTTACCATACCATGTTCCTTAACATAAGGAACAGACCAACGGATATTTATATTACTTTCAGTATTTCAAGGTATCTCTGAAATTTTTCGGGAAAAGATGTCCAAGTCAATTAGGTATATCTTAGTCCAATATATTACTGAAAGCTCTTAGAAATTTCTTTTTCCTTTATGTGCTTGCCTCCTTCTTGTTCTCTTCCTTGAGTCAGGGGTATGTATCTTTTAAATTTTTCCTCAAAGAATAAGACCATCATGTGTATTAGTTTTGGTTATCATAGTTTTCCTTCAGTGACTTAGTGGATTTGTAAGAAGTTTGGCTCCTACAGTGGATTTGTAAGAAGTTTGGCTCCTACACTGATAGCTACACATCCAGCTATCAGTCTCATCTGATAGCTGGATGATGATAGTCACCATAAATAATAACATACCGTTACATAGCGTGTACCATGGGACAGATGCTGAGCTGAGTGTTTTCCATGTATTAGCTTATATAGTTCTCAGAACAGTTGAGATTTATGAAAACATTCAGTAAGTATAGACTGCTTTTAAGAAGTTGGCTGTAAAAGGCAAGGGAAATTTTTTAAGGGAGGTGTGTGTGTGTGTGTGTGTGTGTGTGTGTGTGTGTGTGTGTGTGTGTGTGTTTCAGCACTTGGTTTTAAAGGAAATTTGTTTTAGTTTGTCTAGGTTTTTTTTTTATCATTACAGTAATGTTTGCTCATCCTGGAAATGTCAGCTAGTGTAAGAGTATATATAACTAAAAAATAGAAGTTCTCTGTCCACCCTGTTTTCCTCATTCTGTATCCCAAAGATAACGACACTTATGAGTTCATGGTGTTCCTTCCAGATGTTTCCTCTGCATGTAAAAATATGTATAAATATATTTTTCTCTTTTTTACATGTAAGTGATATCATACATAATATTATGCAACTTGCTTTTGTGACACTGTATCTTATATATTATATTATACATATATAATATTTTTAACCAGTGAGTAGTATTCCATTTCACTGAATTGCTGCAGTTTATTTAATTGTTCTCATATTGATGAACAACTGAGTGGTCTTCACTTTCTCATTATTACAAACAGTGCCTCTGTGAGCATCCTTTTATATTTCAGTGTTTCTTTGTTGGCTTTTAAAAAATTTTTTTTTGTTTTGTTTTTTGCATAGTGAGTATGTCTGTAGGAGCCATCCCTAGAATTACCAGGTTGAAAGTTAAGGATGTTTAAATTTTGATGCATATTGCTATTTTGTGCTCCAAAAACGTTTATGAGTTGTTAGATTTTCACCAAGAGTGTACAAGAATTTGTCTAAGCCTCAGAGACAGTTTTTTCTTTACTTTTTCTTGCACTCTCCCTCATCCCTCCCTTTTTGTTGTAATGAGAAGAGACTGGCTAGAGAATGCTTGAATTCTGAAGAAGTCATTGGGGAGCAGAGGATTGGAAGGCTCAGAGAGAGCAGATAATTGACAAAGAAGGAACCAGAGAAGATGGGCTCCAGAGTATATGAGGAGATCCAAGCCTTCGCCAGCAGGGAGAGTCTCTCCTTGGGTTCTGCAGGGGAGAGCGGGAAAGGATGGGTGTGGTGGGCGTGGGCAGGTTTGCCAGTTTGGAGGCAACTTCTGGAGGTAAATCGTCAGCTCAGATTGACGATATAGATAGTGGGATTGGTAGCTGAAGGAGAGGGAGGAGGTGTAAAAAGGCCATTGTGAAGAATGGGAGAGGGAATTGGCCAGGCACGTCTAGAAGGATTGCTGTGCAGTAGGGAGAGTGCGGTAAACAGGTACATTTGATTCGCGTTATTTATGGTAGTTATATTCCATAAATACTACTGAACCATAGCGCTTAGGGGAAATACAGGGTCAGGTTCCTGAGAGCCTCTGGTCACAACATTCTGGTCAGCCGATCAGCACTAACCTTGTTTTATGTTTCTGTGTGAAGACAACCTGTTTGTCTATTGTTGATTCCGTAACATTGAATGCATGGCCACCAGCGCTGTAACTCATGCCTGATGAAGCTTATCTGTTACACATATCTTCCCTGTCAGGCACTTGCCGGCCTTCTTGTACTTAGGAACACTACCTAGCACTTCAGTACTAGGCTTATGGGTGGTTTTAAATAGCAAAATCACAACAAAAAGCACAAAACATGAAAAAACGTGACATTAAATAAGTAGGTAACATAAAGGACACTTGCTTGTAGGGTGAGGTACGAAACACGAAGGCAGAGCATCTTGCCTTGTTCGGCCTCAGCTGGAAAGTTGTGTGATGGGTGAGTCAGATAGAAGAGGAAGCGCAGGGAGAAAGAGCTGCGGTATTGGCTGAGTCACCCATGTGCCTGGTGGAACTACTCAGGATGGAAAGGAAGAGAGTGAGCCAGTGCTTAGTGTGATGAGTGACAGGGGATGTTTGGGAGCTAGTGTGCAGGACGATGAGTGTGGAGTGGTGCAGCCACATAGCACAGGCCTCAGAGGAGCAGGGAGAACAGGCCCAGGAGCGTGGTGTGGCCTGGGCCTCGGAGGGATGGAGAGTAGGAGAAAGAGCAGCCTCCGCTTGAGGGAAGGCTTCAGAGGGAAGAAGTAGATGTGCCTTTGAGCAAAGGAAGTTGAGGGCGGAGGAGGCTGTTTACCAAAGGGTTTCAGAGGGCGTGAGCTATAGTAGAGAGATTACAGGGGGAGTAGTGGGAAGTTGATGGTGCACGGGCAGAAGCTCAGAGAAGTATGACCCTGAAGGATTGAAGGGATAAATTACTGAAGGGGCTTGTTTCTTAGGCATTGACCAGAGACAACTGAGGGTAAGGCAGGGTGGGCCTGCCTAGCTCCAAGGATTGTAAGAGAAGCAGCCCCTGAGCTCCTCCTTGGCATGGGATGGGTGGGGGGCAGCCACCTCCCCTTCTCGAATGATCGTGCTTCTAGAGACCCCAGTCTCGGCTCTGCAGGGTGTTCTTATCTCTCTGGGGGGAGTCAGCTTATTTTCACTTTTATATATGTAGCATTAATACCTTCTATTTTTAAATTTTTAAATTTTTCTTTATTTTTTTGTGGTACGCGGGCCTCTCTCTGTTGTGGCCTCTCCTGTCGCGGAGCACAGGCTCCGGACGCGCAGGCTCAGCGGCCATGGCTCACGGGCCCAGCCGCTGCGCGGCATGTGGGATCTTCCCGGACCGGGGCACGAACCTGCGTCCCCTGCATTGGCAGGCGGACTCTCAACCACTGCACCACCAGGGGGGCCCTACCTTCTATTGTTTTTTAATGCTAATATATAAGATAAAATATTTAAAAATCCATCTCTCCCTTTTGCCTCTGATTTCCCACTTCTCAAAACAAATCATTGTTAATATTTGGCATCTGTCCTTCCAGACTTTTTTTTTTTACTGTGAATTTACATATATATGTGTGTAAGTATGTATATAAATGTGTGTGCCTAAATACATATACTTTTGTGTGTGAGTCCATGTATGTATTTATGTATGTATGTATGTGTGGGCATATGTATATATGTATACACACATAGTAACATATATATACCCACAGAAACATACATAAATACATACATGGACTCACACGAATATAATCTTTCTCATAAACTGTGACTCACTCTGTAAGTTTGTTCTGCCACTTGAATTTTATCAGTACGCCCTAGAGAACTCTTTGTGGCAGTAACCGTACAGCTTCCTGATTACTTTGGGATTGTGAATTGCCCTGGCTCCACGCTCTAATCTCAAGCTTCTTGTTCAGACTTCTGCAAGGCAGGTGCCCTGGAGTGGCTAGAGGTCTGGTGTGGCGTGTGGTTCCACTTGAACACATCTGCTGTGCTAGTGGGAAGGAGACTGAGAGGCTGAACTGTCTTGAGAGCCCAAGGCCAAGCGTGACCCAGCGAAGGCCCCATAAACCTACGTAACCTTTTTTTTTTTTTCAACTGAGAACTCCCCCGAGTGGGGCCCTAATTTAGGCAGATATGTGGCATCAGCATTCGGCATGCATTACATAGAGTGAGTTTTCTCTGGATTCCAGGGAGCCTGTCTCATCTGAGTATGAACTGGGGAGGCTTTTCTTTCTTTCTCCCCACTCTGCTACTAGTGGAGAGGAGAATAACTTGACTTCTCCCTGTGTCTGCACCAGCCGTGGTCTGGCTGGATATCGCTGTGTGTGGAGCCTTATAAAGGACAGAGAGCTAGCACTGAGCCAGTGCACAGCAGGGCACCCACTCTGGCACCCTGCAGGAGCTGTGCACCCTGTGCTGCCAGCTCCCCTTGGTAGCATGTGCTTGTACAATGTAGGGAGTGAACAGAGGACTTGTCTGCATGGGAAAATTGTCACCCAGGATGCATGTGCTCCTGGTGGAACTGAGGATGATGCCAGAACACTGTAGCTCAGCTCTTCCCAATGTAATAGCCTTTGCTTTTAGATTTTGTTATTTGTTCACTTGTTTTTGTGGCTGTTAACAAGGGTGCTTTGATTAACATAATCCATGTCATACTTGATATCCATGTTAATTTATTTTTGTACATGTGCAGAAATATTCTGGATTTTTTGTTTTGTTTTGTTTTTTAATCGACCTCCTTTACCTGTTTCAGGTTTGTGGATACCGGATAAAGCTGCACTTTGATGGATATTCTGATTGTTATGACTTCTGGGTAAATGCAGATGCTCTGGATATTCACCCAGTTGGGTGGTGTGAGAAAACTGGCCACAAACTCCATCCTCCAAAAGGTATTGTCACTTTTTAATTTCACATTTTATATTCTGAAACACTTATTTTCTTACATCTTAATTTAGATTTTTAAGAATTCAGACTTTATGGTTATTCAGGTGGGCCCAAATTTAAGCTTATTGTTAATGATGAAAAATGTTTATTAAAGTGAAAGAAATTTAGGGCTTCCCTGGTGGCGCAGTGGTTAAGAATCCGCCTGCCAATGCAGGGGACACAGGTTCGAGCCCTGGTCCGGGAAGATCCCACATGCCGCGGAGCAGCTAAGCCCGTGTGCCATGACTACTAAGCCTGCACTCTAGAGCCCATGAGCCACAACTACTGAAGCCCACGCACATAGAGCCCGTACTCCGCAACAAGATAAGCCACCGCAATGAGAAGCCCATGCACCGCAACCAAGAGTAGCCCCCGCTCGCCGCAACTAGAGAGAAAGCCCGTGCACAGCAACAAAGACCCAACACAGCCAAAAATAAATCAATCAATTAAAAATAAAATAAAGTGAAAGAAATTTAAAAAATAGAATCCTACTTAAGAGAATAAGCTATGTCCATGTATTTACTTGCATGTCACATAACATCTGCTTGACACTTAATTTTGACTACAGGTTTTAGCTACAGATTTCTTTCATACACACACACAACACACGCACAAATACATCCTTGAAATATGATTGAAAAGTTAGTTCTAACCTGTTTACATAGCTAACTGTATTTACTGACATTTCAGTAAATAAAAAATCTTGAGAAATTATGCATTGAACTTATGTATCTGAATATTTAGGAGAATGGAAAAGAGAATATAACACTGAAAATCAGTTCAGCTGGGGGTTGGACTAATAGCAGTTACTCTTTTATTATTAAATTCTTTATATTACAGTCTGCCAATGCTTCTGTCTGTGTCATGTTTACAAAACATCCAAGAATAACAGATCCTGTCTTTTTCAGTTCATCCCTAATATATTTAATAATTTCTTATTTCCTTCCTTTTCATATTACATTCAGTATTTTTTGCTTGATGTCAAAGAACCAGGTTACTAGTTTGATATTTTTGGCCTATCTCGGGGTTATTGGGTTTTAATGGACAAGCTATCCTTTGGTTTTAAGTGAAAAATTAATGGCAGAATGGTATTTTCAGATAACTGAAGGATCAAACAGAAGCACCTAGAAAAGATAAGGATGAAAAAGAAAATCTGTAAGCCTTTGTATAAATTGGCCTGTTACATATGGTGAATTACTAGCTGTTCCTTTCACACCAGCCTCTGGACTTTGATGGAAGTAGAAGAGAGCACATGAGTAGATAAAATTAAATGCTCAGTTACCTTTTTGAAGAAAATGTTGGCTTTACCAGCATTAAACATGAAATTGTGAAAATTAAGACAAGGACATTTCCATTATTGTAATTTGCCAACACGCTTACTTCATAAATCTTGAATTGTCATTCTTGTGGTGACAGGCCAGAAAGATTTTATCTGTTGTTATTACCATTTTTTTCCAGCTTCCCACTTGTTCCTACAAGTTAGTCTCCCAGAGTAGAACGGGTGAGGGAAAAACAAAGAACTCAACTACTCTAGCTCACTGCTGAGGAATTCTACCTAAATACTGGTAGAAATGGTCTGGTAATAAAAAGAAGTCCATCGGAGTACAATATATGTATGCTTTCTTACACCTTTTCTTTTCATCCATTACCATTCATTCAGAATTGAAAAAAATAATATAATTTGTTGGAAATAAGGGCTTCCCTGGTGGCACAGTGGTTGAGAGTCCGCCTGCCGATGCAGGGGACACGGGTTCGTACCCCTGTCCGGAAAGATCCCACATGCCACGGAGCGGCTGGGCCCGTGAGCCATGGCCGCTGAGCCTGCGCGTCCGGAGCCTGTGCTCGGCAATGGGAGAGGCCACAACAGTGAGAGGCCCGCGTACCACAAAAATAAAAAAATAAAAAATAAATAATTTGTTGGAAATAAATACCCTGTGTATAAAAATACATAGATATAAATTATGAGTTAAAAACTGTCTATTTAAAGAGTCACCTGATTGCTTGATTTTGGCATGTTGGAGTTACAGATAAAAGTAGGAAGGGAAAGCTAAGTGTGAAATATTTTGGTATTTTACTGTGTGTTTATATGTGCTCACCCTAGGGTATAAAGAAGAAGAATTTAATTGGCAGGCTTATCTCAAGACATGCAAAGCTCAGGCTGCTCCCAAGTCATTATTTGAAAATCAGAATATAGTAAGTACCTCCAAAATACTTTTCCTTTCACAGGAAGTGGCTTTTGAGTGTTTCACTAGATAAATTACAAGGGATAACAAGAAACTATAATAAATTTTATAGCTTTCGTAAATACAATGCTCTTATCTTAATTAAACTTTAAAATTAGCTTAAAACCATCATGAATAAATATCTGTTTTTAGCCATAACATGGCTGTCTGTTTTTGTTAAATAATAAAAGGCAACATAGTATAAAACCTAGGTATAATTTACAATTAAGGTGCATAAGAAAAATTGTGACACTTCATTGTTATTGTCACTTGGCCTTAGGAGTGCTGTTCAGATGGGATTCACATAGTGAGATGCATGTAGCCCCATTTAGATTTGCATGCTAGAGGCTATCATTTAAATCTTCTCTCCAGCTTCTAGCTCTGTTCCGCAGTGTAACAGAAGCAAAGTCTGGATGTGTTTGTATTTTCTGCTTCTTGACCTGTTGGCATCTCTGAGGAGGCCTGATATGTTAGTCTTCTTCCCTGCCCCAGTTCTGATCTCATTGGAAAGAACGGAGAGCAAAAGCAGGTGGAAAACCGAAGTCTCATCTTCATAGTTGGTAAGGGCTCAGGTGGAGTACATGCATGGCCTGTATCTGCTGGCAGATGCGTTTCTTGATTCTGAGCCCTGGGGTTGAAGAGATTTACTGGCCCTTCCCGCCTCACCAGCCAAGCCCAGGAGCACTGGACTAGGGCAGTCTACCCTCTTGCAGGACAGCTCTTGCTCCTAGAGGGGCAGAGTGGAGACTGTTATGCCCTGTAGGCCAGCTTACTCTTAAAGATGTGACCAGTTCCTCTTTCCAGATTGACCAGTCAGGGACAGTGAGTGAGAGCGTAGAGAGAGGCAGTCATGTTTCACTAGGGATTCCCTCCAGATAAATATCAGGAGTGGGGAAAAAACCTTTTCACCACCCCAAATACCCTCATTTGGGAAATGACATTAACTGGGTGTTATGAGGGCATCAGTCACGGCTGAAACATTCTCTAATCAAATTGTGAACATAAGCCAGGTTGAGTTAGAGAACTGGAGAGGGAGAGTGTGTGTGTGTGTGTGTGTGTGTGTGTGTGTGTGTGTGTGTGCATTTAGGTAATTAATAGAGATAATGAGCCAGGTTATTATTTTTAAATGTCTTAATTGAGAGGATAACTTAATTGCTGAAATGTAAATACTGCGTAGTCATTCGGCATCATTCTCTGTCAAGACAAGGGAGGAAGATCAGTCAGGTGGAAAACTCAGCAGCCTGCTTGCTGTCACTGCTCCAAGTTTCCTAATCCTTCTGGTTGTCTGGTGATGAGTTCAGTCAGGGATTTGATCCACTGCCTTGAACCATTGTCTTAAATTCTGTGCATTGCTAGCACAAAACTTAATCTTGGGCTGTGTGTTCGGTATCTAAGAGGCAATTAATTTTTCTATTTCTAGATTCCTGTACCTCAGAATACTCAAATATTTACGGTCAGAACACTGATAAATAATTTCAGGGCTTAAATATGTAGTAACAGTATCTGTGTAGCATTAGTGCCTGATCCTTCGACTCAGACAGAACTTCACTCTAACATATTCAGATACATGGCTGTCCACGTTTTTCTAATGATAGCTGTATAATTATAGTAAAAAGAGAGATAACATCTACTTTGCTTAAAGTGATTAGAATAGTATCTGTGTGCTTCAGTCTGGACAGAAGGATTTTTTTTAGAAGTGATTTGTAATGTGTTGTGATTGATATAACTGATACCCAAGTACTTCTCTGAGATTCGGATAATTTTCCTCACAAAAGATTGTAAGGGATGTTTACACCTGCAGCACCTCAAGCACTAAGTCTTACTGAACTTATTATTGTCTTAGTTTCATGTCCCAGATGGCTGATAATCTGTGGATTTCCTTATATTACAAACTATTTTGAATGGCTGTATGTGTTAACAGCCAGTTCTTTTCGTGCTATTGTGAATAATATCTGTATTGTTGAATCAAAGTTGTAATAATTTGTAGCCTTTTGTATAGGAAGATGACCTACTTTCAATAGAGTACTCTTTTGAAAGACCTTTTCAGAAGTGGGAGTGAATTTATACTGACTTACACACATTTTTAGCTTAAGTGCTTATTTTGTGTGAAATAATTTTCATTGTTAAGTCTGTAATAAAGGAAAAGAAAAACTGAAAGTAAACTCTACAGTAAATAAAACTTGCCTAACTCGTGTAGTCATCTAAAGTATCAGGACACATGTTAAAATTAATTAACTTTGCAAGGTTGTGGGTGTGTAAGTTTTAAAGGTCCAGATAGTTAATTGGGTGTAGCAACAGGATATTTTTCTTACTGCTACTTGTTGGAAAGCAACTCTGCTGTAAAAGTGGTTCATGATTTTTAAATTATGTGAATACAGTTGATGGATGCCAGGCCTTCAGGCAGAGGTGCAGAGAGGGTGCAGGTCCTTGCTGTTAAGTGTGTGCTTATCTCTAATTAAATCTGTATGTTTCATAGACAGTGATCCCATCAGGCTTTCGAGTTGGAATGAAGCTTGAAGCTGTAGACAAAAAGAACCCTGCATTCATCTGTGTTGCTACGGTAACAGATATGGTGGACAATCGTTTCCTCGTACATTTTGACAACTGGGATGAGAGCTATGACTATTGGTGAGACATTTTTTCCATTGCTGTGTGCTTTATTAATTGAGTGTTTATCCAAGTACATATTTAAAAACAGTAATAATGCAAAGCTTATGACTAAAGTGACAGTGCTCTGTCCCACTCTTTCCCATTTCAGATTTTTAACTTTTTACCTGTTCCATATGGCATATATTTCTAAATAACATCCTTTAATTCTACTTCGTGATTTGTATTTTAGTTGACTTCCTCCTGTGGAAGTGCAATTCATACCACACTCCCAACAGACACTCACACGTGAATGTATGCACGGACTCACACTTCCCCTTCATCTCATTTTTCAGGAAAATATTTTAATCTTCCTTTCATGTTTTTATGCCCAGTAGCTAACTTAACTATTTATAATTGCTGAAATACAAATTATTAATTGAGGAATATTGTTTTTAATCCTTATGGGTGTTGACTATACTACATAAAGTGGTAGGAGCAACACAATTATAAAATTACATAATCATAAAATAATTATAATAAAACCATGAGATTTTGATTAAGCAATTGAAATAATGACTTTTCATACCAAATTCATGTTCATTGATGAAACTACAATTCAGTTTACTGATGAAAGTCATTTTCTGCACTGTTTAGTTCCTTCTGGAGAATACTTACAATGAGAAGTGACAGACATCTTTATAAAATAAGGCTAATGTTACAGTAGCAAATGGAGTTTAATTTTATATAAATGTAGCTCAGTTTCAGGAAAGCTTGTTTCCTGTCTTTTTCAGTATGTGTATATTTAAATATTCAGTAGAGCCATCAATAATTTCCATTAATCCTCAAATTGGATTCTCAGACAGGCATCAGTTTTACTTGCATTGTTTTAAAAAAGGAGAGACAGTGAAAACCATTTGCTATTCAGACTTTTAAACAGTGAAGTTTAAAAATCTGAATTACATGTTACATATGGTTTTCACAGAATTTTTTAAAGTAGTTCCGTGATCACATTGCATAGAGTCAAGTACTTGTCAATATTTTAGTATGTTTAACCCAGCTGTTTTCTGCAAAGCATAATTTTCCTCATAGGATATCTTTTTATTCAGTTTGCAATCAAATTTATTATTGAAACATAAACCATTTCAAGTATATACAAAAGTGAGAATAATAGCGTGACCCTCCTACAGCCATTACCTACCACCAGCAGTTACCAATTTACATCAGTCTTGTTTCCTGTGTTTTCCTACTCCTAAATTCCCAACACCAGGATTGCTTTGAAGCAAATTCCAGATACCATGGCATTTCATCTGTGAATGTCTCTTCTAAAGATATTCTTTTTCTTTCTTCAAATATATAGTTATAAATGGCATAATGTCAGTAACATACTTAAACATTCTCCCCCAATTGTCTTGGATTTCTTTCTTTCTTTCTTTCTTTCTTGCTTTAGGTCCAAATAAGATGCACATTTTATGATTGCTTTGATGTTTCTCTTGATCAATTTTAATTTATAGATTCCTATTCCTCCATCATTTTCTTCCCCTTGTAACTTTTATTGAAGAAACCAGGTTGTTTTTCCTGTTGAGCCTCCCGCATTCTGGGTTTGCTGATTGAATCCTCATCGTATTGCTTACCATGTTCTTCTCTTTTTCGTGTTTTCTGCAAACTGGTGGGTTTTGTTTCATTTAAAATTATGTGTACCTATCTTGCGTGAGTGAATAGATGAGAAAACTGTAAATTTAGAAATATTCTAATCTGTCCTGGGAGGAACATATTTCTCCCTCCTGTGTTTGATGTGCTGTGATGGTGGCAGTACCAACTTGATGACTAGGATCCAGTTCTTTTATTAATAAATGATACTTTAAAGCAGTAGTTAGAATTTGTTGAAATGAGAGCTTTTTGTTTTTAAAGTTCTGATTCATTTAGGGAGAATTTTTTTTAGAGCTTCTGCCTGATTTAAACAAAATGAATGGATGTTAGTTTCGGTTATTTTTATGGTCTTATAAGTATTACAGGGTTTAAAAGTTAAGTTGCTTATTTGACGTAAGATGCATTTCCTTTAAAAACATTCTTCTGGAAAAAAGTAATGAGGAATTCTAGAAGAATTTGTCACATTTTTCTTTGATGGCAAATGCCTAGGGACTAGGAAGCATCTTGGGTTCTTATTAGAAAGAGCAGGGGGAAAATGGATCTCTTTCAGCTCTGATTTTGCACTCTTATGAGCACAACCAAATTATTTTTAGAATGGAACGTACTTTGAGGATAGACTTATACTTCTAACTCTTGAAGTTATATTTTGTTAATTGTCAGAAAAAGAATAACGGTGTGTTCTCTGCCTCAATATACAATTAAGGCACATTGAAAATTGCTTAAGTGCACTGGAATTTATCCAGCCTTATTAAATATTATGTTCTTTGATCTTCGAATTTTGGAATGGTTTGTATCTGCATAAATTACTTAGCTATGTAATTGAGGATACAAATTGGATTGCTTTCCCAGTTTAAAATAGTTTGGAAATGAGATTTTTCCCCTTTGAATTGGACAGTGATCTTATCTCTTTTTACCTTAGTGGGAATTTGAAAGCGCTCACGCACGCATGCACACACACGCGTGCGTGCACACACACACACACACATTTGTGGCACTGCATGTTTAATTGCAGTAAAACATTTCTTCCTTCTAAAGAGGAGTGCTACGGGGGATTTAAATTTATGTAGAATTGAAGTCGTTTTTAATGAAAGGAAATAATATACATATATTAGAATAATAATTGGTTTACCTCTGGGTTTCCTCTGTGCTTTTATTACTGATAGTTGGTAGTCGTTTAATTCTATCCCCTTGACAGTGATTAGACTTAGGAATAATCCTAAATATCACAGAATATTGGTATACTGGAAAGAACTTTAAGGATGGCAGAAGGAAAGCCCTCCCAGTGAGGATGCCACCATCCTCCCGGCGCAGCCTGTGGCTTCTAATAACAATATGTGACCCAACCCCACCCCCCAAAACAAATGTTATTTTCACGTGACCTTGTCTTTTGGGAACCAGGAAGCCATGACAACAGGACTTGGGTGACTGTTGACTAGCATGAGGTTGCCACTTCAGCCGTCTTTGAATTTCAGTCCAATATCCCAGTGAGTTAGGCTGAAAAATCATCAAACAGATCTATGAAAAAGAGAAGCATTGAGTTAGTGAATTAGAACAAATATGGGGCTGGGACCTTTTACTGTTGTTTCCAAGTGGATTGCAAACTTCTATTATTTTTTAGAGATGGGGCTCTTTCACATTTGTACATTGAGAGTAATATTAGTTTTATGTGTCTCCCCAAAATAATGTTGAAAAGCTGCATTGTGTTGTCAGTTTCTTAGAGCATTGTCAAAGTTAACAGGTTTGTCATCAACCATTAAATTTGGAAAGCAACCCTTGATGGTGGTGATGAGTCACAGAGATGACAGGGACCTAGGTAGCTCTGCACTTCAGTCTTGAGGGGCTCAGTGTCTGGGAACGGAGAGAAACGCAACACTACTGTCTTGGCTGCAGAGTTGATGGTGGTTAGTGCTTAATAGAACCAACTGCTTGCTGTCTCTGGTGGCAAATGGAAGGAAAGACTGACGGACTCACTGGAGGGTTCTCGGGAAGGTCTTCCTGGGGACATGGGATTTGAACTGGACCATGAAGAATGATAGGAATTAGTACTTAGATGTTGGGATGAAATATTCCCGGAAAGCACTGCTTATGTTTAAGCCCATGGGGCAAAAATGGTATGTTTGGGGTATGGCAGCCCGGGGATTCAGTAAGTGACTTAACTCCTCTAAGCTTTAGTTGTCCCCTTTGCAGAAAGGATTAAATAGTCCCTATCTCACAAGGTGGTTCGAGGATTAAAATAAGAATTTTAGAAACAGAAACCAGTTTGCAAAAAGTTAAAGAGATAGCTGTAAAGGACATCAAGCAGAGAAGTTTGGCCCTGAAGGTGAAAGTGGATTATTGCCTGAAGGGGGAGTCAACCCTTAAGGAGGGTTTCCTGTACACAGAGAGTGTTGAGGTTAGTTGAAGGAAGGAAGCCACTGTAGAGGGAGAGGGGAGATATCTGAGACTGAATAATTGAGGATACCGCATCCTGTAGGAGGGGCTGGCCTTGGGAAGAAATAAGTTTTATTCTCACTCATGGAGGAAATGAAGACATGAAAGGAAAATTGACTCTAGAGTGATGAGGTGGCACCTCCTTTATCTTTTCCTAGTAGTCACAGTGTTAGTGAAATCAGGTTTTAATCTTGAAGCAAATTACGAATATTGAAAACAGCCACTGTGGGGAATGGGTTTGGAAATGAATTAGGGATGAAAAGAACTATGATGACTCCGTATGATGAGGTTTGGGGTTTAGTAGTAAAACAGAGTGTTGGAAGCCCTGAAGAGTTAGCGCAGAGTGGGAACCAGGAAAGTGGGCCCTGGGAAATAAATTGACAGTCGTCATGCTCTGGATTTAGGGAGTGAGAGAGGCCAAGTGTGCTGTATTTCTTCAGAGAATCTAAACCATTGCTTGAATGAAGACTTTGAGGTTTTCCTTAAGTGAGCGTCTTGAAATGTTCTTGTTTGACTCTCTGCCGAGATCTGGGCTCCAGCCCAGCGTGTGTGCCTTACTTTCGTTTAGCTTTTGGCTGTGACTGATAGAACCAGGGTCCCTTTCTTTTTAACCCCAAATCGCTTAACCTCTCAGTGTTTCCATAAAATGAGGATCTTAATGTTTGCTCGCTTTATATTACCAACATGGATTTTTCATGAATTATTATTTCTGTTATTATCTACCAGTCTAGTTCTGATTGGATCTTAGCAGCCTTCATAAATAATTTGCACTTACTTGTGAAGTGGACTTAAAAAAATTTTTTTTTGGAGATGGAGTTCTTTAACAATACACATAAAAACCCCAAAGAAAGAAAGGAAAGGCACAGGGAGCAACAATTTGCCAAACTTCTCACCATTAGTTGTTCTTCAATATATTTTTTCTTGGTTACATTTCTGCTTCTGAACACTAGATGGGACTAAGA